TAATATAATATACTATAATATAATATCATATAATATCATATAATATAATATCATATCATATCATATCATATCATATAATATAATATACTATAATATAATATAATATAATATAATATAATATATATTTTTTATATTTGTTTATTTATTTCAGTACTGGTAGAATCACGTGTTGTTCAGCTTTTATGTATTCGTTCAGGTGTTTGTATTAGTTATCTGTGTATCCATGTGCCTGCTCCTGCATTTGTTCATTCACTTATTTCATTTTTTATAGACAGAGACCTGTTCATTGCCCGGGGTATTCAGAAGAGGATGCCCTGAAGAGGGCAGGCGCAGGTGACTTTGGTGTTCAATCCTCAGTTGTCTGTTTTTGGAAAAGTTTAGAGTTACACTGCTGCATATTTCTTTACTTCTCATTCATTTGTTTATTCATGTATACTGTATACGGGTGCGTGTGTATACACGCACGTACATACATACCTATGCATGCATACACAAAGAGAAACAGATGTATGTATGTATGTATGTATGTATGTATGCATGTATGTATGCCGGCTGTATGGATGTATTTATATATGTATATGTGGGTGGGTGTACCTGTGTGCATGTATGTATATACACATACGCATATGCAGTCAGTAATTTATCTAACTCGTTTAGGTTTCCGGAAAGCCAAGGTTTCGGACCCGGACAGCAGGGAAAGCCGTATCCACTATGCCACGGCCTGACATCTTCAGTAACCGTCGACTGGTGCCATGTCGCCGTTGGGCTTACCCATCGATTCTGTCTCTGGCCGTATTGCAGTGTATGTTGCTGACAGGTGGGGAAATCACACTGCAAGGAAGAATGACAGCATTGATATCACACGGGCGCAGACGGGCAAGCCATCTTCAACGTTTCACCCCAGGAGTCCATTCTAAATGCATCGCGATGCTTCTGCCAAGGTTCAAGATTGAGCGCGCATCCCTTCCCGGCGGACGCTGGGCCAGGCGGGCCAGGCTAAGTCCTGACATCACAAATTGCCAGGATCTCATCTCTTACTCTACGAACTGCAGTTTGCACAGGGCCCTCACGACCCAAGCCTCGTGCCATGATCGCCACGAGCTCGTCAGGTGGAAAGGCGCTTCGATGTGAATCTTCGAGATTTAGGGTGGCGTATGGCGACAGGGTCATGGGTGACGGGTCAAAGTTGCCAGCACCAAGTCAATCACCTGTGGCAGAAAAGCCCCGTCACCAGCAGAGGCTGCTTGCTGTCTTTTTTTCTGTGTCATTTGTGTCTTTCGTTCTTGTGTCGCCTGCGTCTCTTTCAATTGGTCGGAAGCAACAGTCTGGAAAGAGAGGCCCCTTTCGGAGGACCTGACATAGGAGACCCTCGGTCCTCTCGATGCCGTCCGTCCGTCCGTGTCTGCCGGACATCCAAAAATATCGGCTCGGAAAACCTGTTCCTATAATTTGCGTTTGGGATGTCATGAGGCTGTTTTCGATGTTCGCCGGTCATGTCCCATGCTGTACCGGCAGAGAAGCCCTTCGACCCCATGTGACGTACTGGTATGTGAGCCCTCTTTATACAGTGAGAGGTGTCTTGCTTCCCTGCTCGGCTGATGTACGAAAGATCTTTTGCCGTTTGAGCTCTGGGAGCTGCCCAAAGTCGGCAGCGCAAGCTTGTGTTTACTCTTACTGCTAGTATTGCTATTACTACTATTTCTGTCTTTTACGATTCATATGGGTGTAGAGAAGGGGTCGAGGAGTGTACACTGCACGCGCTCTATCAACGTAGAGACCATAGATGGCGGGAGCGTCAAACCAGGCGATGCCAGCCCTATTCGCACAGGCCCATGCGCACGAACAGCGGATCATCGAATTCAGCCCTTTTCCGTTTCGCGTGGAGACTACATCTTGGCCATGCCGAGCCGAGCCTCCGCGAAGCCAGAGGCCAGTGCCAGGGTTCCATGATTTGCCTCTCAGGATGCCTTACCGGAGCTCGACACCTGGCGCACGCCCTCGCGCAGATTTGTGGGTGATCTCACGTTCTTGCCTTTGCATCGAAAGCCAGCCCTGCATCAGGCACAGAAAGAACGGGCGTTGCCAGGACCCCGGAGCACGGATGTTTGCATGAGGACAAGGTGTGTAACGTAATTAGGCAACAAGAACAGCGACCACAACAATAGCAGCAACAGCAACAACACCAACACCAACCACAGCCGCCACAAAAACCACAACCACAACCACGACAACGACAGCGGCGGCAGCAGCAACAACAACTGCGGTGGCAACAGCAGCAACAACAACAACATCATCTCAGCAACAACGGCGGCCGCAACAACAATGACGACAACAACATGTTTTCGCAACAGCCGCAGCAGTAAATCACAGCAACAGCAGCATCACTGCTGACACATGCTTCTCCCATGATCAGTACCCAGCCCGGCATCAGCCCAGAACCTCAACACAATTCGCTGTGCTGCTGCTGATGCGCAACAGCAACCAGTAGGAGAGGCCATAGGCAAGACAACAGCGACAAGCACCCCGCAAGTATCGAAAACAATGACATCAGCGCTGGCATTGGTAAGGCAACGGTAATTACAAAAACGACGTTGTACGGGGCCTTCGACATGATGTCCGCGGTTGTGAAGCGGTTCTGTGAAGCGGTTCGGTTTATGTACGGAGAGCTTCGTGTTCGCAATTGTTGGAGACAGCCGATTCACCCGTGGTTGCCCGAAGCTTGTCCTACCAGTAAGTAAGAGCCTCCGGAGCGGAACATGTAGGGAATCAGTGAGTGCATCTTGCTAGGCGACACACTTACACAGACTGTTGCCTCACACGACATGCACGGGGGAACCATCAAAGCATGGGTGGCATCCAACACAGATTCGCGAGGAAGAAGATGCACGAGAGGAGCAGAACAACAAATCGCATGCTGTTGCAGCTCTCGAAATATCTATCAAAATATTTTGTCTGAACGCTCGATCCATGAAATGGACGCGGCCATGCGCTTGAGGCCCAACTTGCAGAAGTCATCGTCTACGCCTGCTGTCCAAAGGTGCCGCTGTCTGCACGTGCCGGTTCTTGCAGATGGCAGGGAAGCGTAGCAGCAGAAAGTCAGAAAGTCATTGGACTCTGTGCACGAGTTGCAGCGCCCGTCAGCGTGCGACTGAATACGCTGTGTAATCATTGGGTCGTTACCCTTGCTTCCCTTCCTTGGCACAAGAAGCACGGAGGTCGAAGTTTCGTAGAGGGATCTTGCTCGCTCCCCTGGCACTACACACGAGACACGCCGTGCCGTGTATGCAGGAACGCCTCGGCGGTCCAAAGAGAGTTCGCGGCCCAGACCTTGCCAGAGGTTTTAGCATCGGCAGGCAATCTCCCGTACTTCTGTCATCGTCTCATTGTAAACAACACGGCATCATGTGCTACTGTGAAAGCAAGTTTTGTAACTAGCATGCTCCTACTTCCACTGCTGCTGCTGCTGCTGCTGCTGCTGCTGCTGCTGCTGCTGCTGCTGCTGCTGCTGCTCCTACTCCTACTACTACTACTACTACTACTACTACTACTACTATTACTACTACTACTACTACTACTACTACTACTACCACCACTACCACAAGCACTCGGAATGCTGCACCGCAAACACCTCCACCGCCACCACCACCACCACCACCACCGCCAGCAGTACTATAACAACGACAACGGACATGCACAAGAAATGGAGAATGCAGGAGCAACCAAAGCATGCGCTGCAACAGCAAGAGTGGGACTCAGGAGCAACGACCAAAACAGGTAAAAACAGGGCCGACGAAAGAAGGGTTTAGAAAGAAACCTACGTAGCCTACGTGTGAATCTTCTTATAAATAAGTATATATGAAAAATATTGTGACCTGAATACAACCCGCAATTTTAGATATGTATGTGTTGGTGTATGTATGCCAAAGTTGTCAACGTGTGATGTCACGGCTGTATGTGTGCTTCGTGGACACGGGAAGAGAACCCGGACCCGCTTGCACGTACAGACGTATATGGATGCACCTCTCTGTCTCTCTCGATCCATCATCTACATCTGAGCGAGAAAGATCGACTGGCGCACGGATGGCAAAATGGAGTTGTAAATAGGTCCAAGGCATAAGGGAAGGTTACATGGCCAAACTGCCTACACCCACCTCTCAGGGACCTCTCAGAGTGTCAGGTCGACTCCGCGACATGCGAACCCCAAAAGAAGTGCTATACGTTTATAATACACTTCAAAAAGTACTAGTAACACTGATGTGAAACACGAGAATAGATTTTGACATAGTATAATCACCGCACTACAATACTTAGGGTTCAGGGTTGGATGTACTTTGGTGCTTAGCCCCGAGGGGCCAGCAGCTGCCACGGCTCTTGGGCAGCTCTTCTCAGCCAGCCGCCTCTTGGCGGCACCCTGTATGTATAGACAGAGATAGACCTCTGTAGGTAGACAGGGAGGGAGGTAGGTACATAACGGTATATATGATCCCGGCTCGGCCGTCCCCCCGCCCCCCTGTGTTGTGGTTCTCCGTCTTTTCCGGTGGTGTGCTCGGTGGTGTGGCTCGGGGTTTGGGTCGGTGTGCTTCGCAGCTTGGGTCTTCTTGGGGTGTTTGGCACCATCATCATCATCAAAATCGGAGTATGGGTCAGTTTGGGGGTGCTTCCCCTGCCCTCCTGTCTGGTGTGGTGTGGTTCGGGTCTGGGTCCGTTTGGGCCGCGGTGTGGTGTAGTTCGGGATATGCGTTTGCTGGGGGGTTGGTATCATCATCGTCATCATCATCTTTTTCCTTTCTTGGGTCAGCTGTCACAGGAATCGGGCCTGTCAGAAGGGCGATTCTCGTTACGGTTGCATTTTTAATAAAAAGCCTTCTGTCGGAGTGGTGGTCGGAAAGTGTCCACTGTGACAAGGATCCGTTGTGTGTTTGGGACGAGATTCTCGCGATTTCGGAGCCGCATGTGGGAGAAGTGTGTTTGGACCCGGGCGGGCGGGGGGCGGGGGGGATACCATGGGGATGTATATGTATATACTACAGACACTGTATGCACCTCCCAACATGAGCCTCCAAGATAATGAGGCGCATTACTGGCCCCACTAACGCCAAGCATTCGGATCTTCGAATGCGGCCTGCCCAGGTGCGGAAGGAGGGCGATCGGAAGGACAAGGTGGAAAAAGAGCCTAGGAGGGACCAAAGGCAGGGACGATTCTGCTTTTGGCCGGCTGGAAACCTCCTCGTGTTACGTACATGGCATATTACTTATGGAGATCTTCATTGTTTGGGAAGCGCTTTTTTTGCTTGCCTTCAGGGATCGCTTTATGCAGATCACGTCTTTATGTGTGGCCCAGCCTTGGTAGCCACGCCGCAGGCCACAAAAGAAATCAGATGCGAAAAAGTCGGACCCTCCGAAGTTGCTTGGATGCAAGAAGTCTCTAGATGGCTACGCTGTAAGTGCGCCATACAGCTTGCAACTTGTTCAGTTGGTTTGTAGCCAGGTAGGTTTCCCAGTCCTTCAAAAGGAGCGTTTCTGGATGGGATTTGGAAAGCTCGCCGCCGGGCGGTGTGGCAAGGTCGCAAGCCGCGGTGAAGCCTGAGGAGAAGGCCGAGGGAGCCGCAGACTGAACTCCGGTGTCCGCGTGTTGATCCTTATGAAATTCAACAGAAGGGTTGGGGGAGGCTTCGGCAAAGGCTTTTTTTTAGTAAACTTGAGCATCACGAGAGGTCAGGAAGGCAGTTGGACTCAGAGGTCTGGGCTTAGATAGACCCCCTGTTTATAAGCTTGGAGAGGCGCCACGACCTGCTTTGCGCTTCAGGCGAAGACCGCTTCGAGAGAAGACGGCCAAAACAAGGCCAAGGAAGAAGTCGAGGCGAGCACCGCAGATTGAATCAAAAGAGAGAGCCGCAGTAAGTACTACTACACTGAGATCCATGTTGATAAGAAGAAGAAGCCTATCAAAAACAAGGAGATTCTTGATGAGCTTCTGCATCGACTCTTGAAGTGGTCTGAACGAAAGCTCTCTTGCTTTCCGCTCCGCTTCCAGATCGTGGCCACGCGTGAAATGCGCCGCGAGCTACTCGAGGTGGCCCTGTGGGCCCAGGGGAGTCGATGCTGAATATGTGTTTGGCCTCGCTAGAGCCGCGACAAGGGCCTAGAGTCCTAGAGCGGCGGCCTGCTTTTTCTACAGGTCCTGTCAAATCCACAGATCCGTGACATCGCAAGAAAGCCTGGGCCTCGGCAGAGAGCGGAGCCTCCTTTCAAGTGACGTCAACCATCCTCGTTTTTTTTCGGGTTTTCAGTATAGAGTGTTCGTCGAAGGTATTACGATGCAGAACTCCGCGGTCGTCGCGGAACCGGACGCCTTGGCTTCCGAGAGCTGCGTCACGTGCTGCGGGTCCTTCGCCCTGAGTTTGGGTTTGCGGTTTGGTTGAAGCTGCAGCCCTCGCAGCCCTCCCTCCTCCCCTCCCTCCCTATCCGTCTTTGCTTTTCTCTCCATGGCTGCATTGTGGCACGGGTCTGGAGTTACAGTTGGAGCTTTGGAAGTCATCCATGTAGGGACTGGTGGATAAGTACAACTCCCGAGCCGCTTGGTCCGTGCGGGGTCGAAGCAGCTTTAAATGGGTTTAGGGTTTAGGAAAGTTTAGGGTTCACCACAACAAGTCGAGCAAACCAACTGTCAAGCCATCCTATCCGTCTTCCCTGGGCGAACTGACACATGGACACCTTGGAAGCACGACAGTCCCCGACACGTTCTGCTGCTAATATAAATGTAGAGTAGCAGAATCAAAACAGATGCTGCTAGTGCAGCGCCTCGAGCAGAAAGCAGAGACTCATCATCAAATCGGAAGAACAGGATCTTTTTGAGGAACCTCGTCGTGAAGGTTTATTCGTAAATTGACAGTAATTAAGAATTAACTTATATCAAGAACCTGATGTCCCCCAAGCCATCGAAAAGGCACGGAAGAAGCCTGAACCGCTGGAAGTCGCTGTAAAGCAAGGAATTGAACCACCACCTGGGCCTACCTATGCCAGCTGCACCGCTAGCCCAGCCCTCAGACTTAGAAAACAGCTGGGGGCAAGAGGTTTTGGGAAGATCGAGCCTTTGCAGCTTAGAGGTTGCATCGCCAGGGACCGTAGAAGGGCTCCAGATTTGTGTTGCAAAGGCGGAGCAGCTCTTCAAACGCCTCTTGGAAGCATGCTTGAGTCTAGGAGTCTAGGTCCTGAGCGTTGTCAGGGTTCAGACCTGTTATGTAAAGCTGCGGGGAAAGCATCTCCTAACTGTTAACTGGCAGTAGCAGATCCGGAGTCAGCCATTTCACACTTTGAGGCGCCCCTCGCAAGTAGAGCAGGAGCAGATATGTCATCAATGACACTGAGTTGCGGCATTTTTATGGCGCGGGTCGACCTTGCCATGAATGCGAATAGGTAAACACATTGTTGTGAGAGGTGGGTCAAGGGATCGTTAGCATCCTGTGCATGATGGTTTTCGTTATTACCATGGTCATTGTGAGCTGCCTCCGCTGAGATTCATAGTCGAAACCTTACTGCAGTACCTACATCTTGTAGGAATAATGTGAGCAAGGTGTTCGACACCAACCGGGTTGATATGAAGCTCGGACAGGCTACGACTTCAACGGTGATGGCGACCTGAGCTTTGAGGAGTTCTTTGAGCTCTTCGTGCAGATCTCGGGGCTGCAGAGACCCGGAGGTTCTGTAGAATCTCTTGGGCACACACATGACACAGGGTGCCCTTTCTACAAGTACGCAGCTCGGGCGCCTGCCAGGCAAGGGTGACAGACGAAAGCTCAGGTGAAAACGCTTCGGCGCGTGGCTTTCGATCGGTGTAGCTGCCTGGTTTGGGGGGGTCTTTGGCTTTATGACGCCCCGGCAATCGGCAGCTTCCAGGGTTGGCTGTGCCTGAAAAGTGTTGACCGGGTTGCGAGCACGAACGTCACGAAGATGCTGGGTAGCCGGGTCGCCACGAGCTGATTCGACCAAACTGACAAAGCGAACCCTGCGCCGATGCTGCTGCCCATCTCAAGAGGCTTAGGCTTAGATAGCTGCTTCAAGCCTTGATCGAGTGAGTATCCGGGACTGCGCCAGGTCGGTGCTCCTCGGTCGCGAGATTTTCGTAACCCAAGAGCCCGGGAAGGTGCCGTTTGCTGGTTGCAAGCACAGCATGAAACATGACAACAGCAACACCCATGTTTCGTGCCCGGTGGTTTTTGGGGCATGCGACGTGTAATCACACACTGATGCTGATAGGATCTCTATGAAGCAGGTCTCTGAGAAGCAGTGACAGCCACCGAAGTTCGCAAGCATCTCTTGTTGTGCGATCGAGGGTTGATGATCAGCACTTCGTGGCTTTAACCCAAAGAGTGGACCTGCGAAGTCCTGAATTTTCGTGCGTGTTATCAGTGTTTATCACAGCACAGCTGTGCAACTAGGCAACATGCAAGTGCATGAACAAGATCACATGAGATGTAGGAAGGATGAAGCGGATTCAGCCTAACACCTTAAGCTTATGCAGGTGTGGGATGTCTACCATCGAGCCATGGGCTTACAGCGCAGCGGAACCTTTGGAGTCACGGCGGCTCTTTGCAAGGTCCTGCATTGGTCAAGCAAAGTGGCGGAGAAATCTCATCCGTTGAGCTTTCCCATGGGTTTCTGAGGTTAAGACGCTGGGAGAGGGCTCGTTTGGCAGAGACCTGAGCTGGGCCCTACTGCATCCACCGGACATTCAAGAACTTGCCACAAGTTCAATTCTGAGCTTCATCGACTCACACGGCGTAACGGAGGTTCTCATATCCGATGTTTGAGGCCCAGGAAGCCCTGAAGAGTGCGTAGTTCTGAGGCTCTGCTCATCTGGGAAAGCATAAGAGGACCAAGGAGGTGCGAGCATCGGGACTCTTCAGTCGGCCAATGAAATCTTTGCAAATGAGATGCAGGTCCTTCACCAGTAACAAAGTGTTCGCTTGGCGTAGGCAGCAAGCGACCGGGTTCTACCCAGTTCTGTTGAACTCCACGTCGAAGCGGGCTCACCTCGTGCATGGAATTACCCTTCGTGTTCATGTTGCTTGCGTATGCTTCAGGAGCGCGTCATCAAGGTCGTCGAGAAATCGCAGGCGCGAACGAGCTCAGCTTTTTCCGAAATGTCAGTGTTCACGGGAGTCAGTAGGGGCCAATGCCCATAACACGGATCAGGTGACTGTGCAGCGGTAACTGATGGCAATCTCATTCCGATGTCTCTTCCGCGATCCCTGGTGCCGAGAGGCAAAGCTTCCGGTGGAAGACATCGAGAAGGAAATTATGGTCCTGAGACAGCCTGCGCCCAAGCTTAAGGAGTTGACCGAATTTCTGCTGTGCTCCAGCTCGCAACACCCACTTTCTTCTGTCAGCCTTTCTGCCACCTGAGTCTGCAGTTTGTTTGCTGCCTGGATTCCCGGACTTTCTGTGCCCGCCGTAGCGATTTTTGGCAGCTGCCCTGTGTGAACCAAAGCCAAAGAAAACCCTCCTCTGCTCGGAGCCATGGCAGACCGAAAGGCCAGGATCAGATGGTTTTTTTTTTTTTCGAAAATAGGGGGTACCTTATAATTTGGGAGTCCTTATAGCAAGGATCCTACTATTTAGGTGCTTGTTTTCGGGGTCCGCTATTTTCGGAAACCCCCAGATCATCTTGAAGGGTTCAGAAGAGCGCAGGATGTCAGAAGCCCTTTAAACTTCATCGGCGACCTGGTTCCCTTGCAGTCCCTATCCCTCTGGATAATATATACTTCTTAAGGCCCCTATCTTCGGCAGCTCATGGTTTGTGCGTTGGAGATTGATCGTCTTTGTGTAGAGAGGCCAGGATGAAAGTGGGCCAGGCAGTTTCAGAAACTCGGTGCCAGAAGCAACGTTGATCCCTGTCACAGAAGTGCACGGGGCTTGTATCGATTGCAAACGCTTGCCTTGGGCCCTGTGGAGACCAGAGAGCACGCAACTTAGATTGCCAATGTGGGTGGTTGTCAAAATTAGGGTCCCTGTTTTGGTCCTTAATATAATACGGCACCTATTATTTAGGGTACCCCAAAAGGGACCATAATTTTGACAACTACCCATGTGGGTTCCAGAGCGATGAATGACTGAAACTAACGAGAGACTGGTGCTATCACGCACGTTTCGAGCTTTCAGATATCGTGTGTACTGTTTGAGTTGTATCATGAACCTCTTGGTCATTCGGAAAGCTTGTCTGAACCGAAAAAGAGATTTACAAATTGAGTTTCGCGTGGCTGCGGCCCAGCCGAAAGTAGCTGTCTGGCTTCTTGTACCAACAATTTCTTGTTGAACAGTGCCGTCACCGCTCATCCTGGGTATTCGTCGACTGGCAGCCTGTCAGGCTGTGATCAAGAATGCGGACATGGCAGAGGATTCTGTCTGTTACTGCGCAGTGATGCGAGACAAGCCAGAGGGCGTGGGGCCTTACCAAGTATAAGGTTTGGAGATCCAGGGATAGAGGCAAGACGGGGTGATCTGAGACCGGCGTCGGTGCAGGACATGCAGCAGGATGCCATTGACTGTGCAACGCAGGCATTGGAGAAGTCACCTGGCAGGCAGTAAGGAAACAGTGCAGGCGGCTGAAGAAATTGCAAAAACTCACGGCAGCTGGACTGGCTTGTTGTTCGGGTTGTTCATATCTGTCTGCGGTGTCCCAGCTGAACCTTGCAGGTACAACATCGAGAAGGACATTGCCGCGTTCATCAAGAAGGAGTTTGACAAGAGACTTGTCCCAGAAATGGTGTTGTCGTACACTGCTCGGAGGGTCTAATTCAAAGAGTGTCTGCAAGCAGCACATGCCATAAGGAAGTACAATCCCACCTGGCATTGCGTGGTGGGCCGAAACTTCGGTTCCTATGTGACCCACGAGACGAAGCATTTCATCTACTTCTACCTGGGCCAGGATGGGGTTTCTGAGTGTAGGACGCATCATTCAAACGGTGACACTTGGGAGTTTCCGAAAATTAGGGGTACCTTATTTTGGGGGTCCTTGTAATAAGGATCCTACTCTTTAGGGTACCATACTAGGGTCCCCCATATTACCGGAAACCCCCCACTTCCTGCGAGCGGCCCGGGAGCCGAGCGATGCTTCATCCGGCCAATATATAGGTATATAACAATAATCATAATAATGATTGTNNNACAATCATTATTATGATTATTGTTATTATAATATCATATATTACCAGTGCTGGCACTGGTTGGGTCACGGTACAGTAGCTCACAGCAGCCGCAGGTTGCAATTCTCTGCTTCAAGCCGCGGGCTCAGCTTTCTGGACGCCTGTAAGGTGGCTATGTAAAGTTCAGGCGTGAGTTGCGGCCGACTCAGGTCTGGCTGAGGCAGAAGATTGAGATTTGGCTCTCTTGAGTGTCAACTTGCAGGGAGAAGCAATGTGAAAAGGCTTGCAGTGAGTACGTACATGCACTCGATATTCAAATGGTTTAGGCGAGTGAACTCGTGCAAAACCTCGGGAGCATCCTCTCTCTCTGCATTGCTGGCACATGTATCGCAAGTTGCCATGACTCTGCGCGTGGGGCTGATTGATGCATAGACATAAGTTACATGCGATTCGATCTGCAAAGTTTTCGCAACTCAGTTCTGCCCATGTTTCACGCGAGAGATCGCAAGCGGCTGAGGGTCAAGAGCGCAACCCCCAAGCGATGACCCTATATGGACTGACGAATTCACTTTGCAACAGGCTCAAGCAGAGTCCTGTTTGCTGTTCGGCCCGACCCTCTGGAAAAAGAACTTTGTTGCTGCTCTTCGAGATGCACGAACTGGACCTGGAGACAGCCTGTTGTGAAGTTCGCAGCCTTCCCTGAGGGTGGATCATCCGCACATCATCCGGCTTCACGAGTGGTATGAAGGGCAGGACGCCTAGCATTTCTGCGATGTTGTTTGGCCAGTGCGGTTGCCGTGGGGTTCTCGACCAGGTCACCCCGTACTTGAGAGCTTAGGTCGTCGAAGATCTATTTGGTGATGGATGCGATTAAGGCCACGTGTGCGACTTGCCCCAGCCTTCTGAGCGCGTCCAGCAAGCGAGTCGCTCCGTCGCTCTCTCCACAAGTCGTTTTTTGTTCCTAATTCCTTGCCCCGTACCGGACGCAGGGCGGCACGCTGCGCGAAGTCTTGCTGCACTTCCAAGCGGAAGGGCCAAGTGCACAGTTTCAGGGAGGATCTCCGGACGTGAAGAGCGGACAGCCCAAGCAGCAGCCAATGTCTGTGATCAGACCCTAAACCCATACACTGCGTGGCAAGAAGTGTACCAAAAAAGTGCCACGCAGTCACATCACCTGGGGAGCCTCAGCGTGAGCGCCGAAACCATGAAACAGAAAACACCTTTCCCCCGAAGCCTTTAGCGGAGGCAACAAGAAAAGTCCCAAACGCAGTCCCGAACCCCGAAACCCCTTGACCTGGTCTCCGGTTCGAAAGCCCTGAAAACCGTAAACCCCAAGCCGACCGAAACCCCGAGAAAAAAAGAGCGATCCCGGTTCCCAGGGCCGCCGTGGAGGAGACTTGGAGCCGGTCCGTGATGAAGCAAACTCTGCAGGCAGCCTTGAGAGAAAGACTAAAGATAGTTTACATATTTGTATAAGTATATAGAATAAATAAAGTATGTACCTGTGCGTGCGTGTGTGTACGTATATATATATATATATACATATCTGTGTCCGTGTGCGTGTGCGTGTGCGTGTGCGTGTGCGTGTGCGTGTGCGTGTGCGTGTGCGTGCGCGTGCGTGTGTGCGTGTGTGTGTGCGTGTGCGCGCGTGTGTGCGTGTGTGCGTGTGTGCGTGTGTGCGTGTGTGCGTGTGTGCGTGTGTGCGTGTGTGCGTGTGTGCGTGTGTGGGGGTGTGTGTGTGTGGGGGTGTGTGTGTGTGGGGGTGTGTG